AAATGTAAAAATTCGAACGCCTTATCAAATGAGTACATCTTATTAATATTATAAATCAGAGCACGGTACAACTTTCTTTGGATATTTTAAAACCATAAACCTGATCAATACATACATAAGCAAAATTTCATCAGAAAAAAAGTAATAACAGCGCCATCTAGTGAAAAACCAATTTTATAACGGCACCATCTAGTGACAAACTAAGATTAAAACAGCGCCATCTAGCGATTTAATGTATCTTCAAATGTCGATTCCATCGACGTTTTTTTAAATGTCCTATGAACGTAGCATAGTTTTAATAAACAACTTACACGCAAGTAATGGAAAATCTTCTAGTTATTAACAACAAATAATAGTCAAGTTGTCACGTATTTATCTAGATCCGAGCATGTCAATATTGCATGGCCTATTATCACTGTTACCCTGTGCATGCGCAACTGTTTACGTAACATGTCACATGTCAATGGTAAATAATTATTTAATAATAGTAGTGTAATAGTGAGTTTCTAGTGGTTAAATCAAAATAAGAACTGCATAATCATGACAGATCTAAGAATTTCCTAGGGTTCAGAGATCACGATTTTTTATCTATACTTTATTATAATAAAGCGTAAACACACACTTCTTTGTTGCCTAAGATGTCAGCAATTACAGCATATTTTTAAATAATACTTTTTTTGAATAAATAGCTTTACACTTTAGCCTATCTATTTTCACGCCATAAAACTTAGGGGTTAAATGTTTTGTATAAAAAACCCTAATGTCGGAAAGAGAACATAAGTGCCAACATCAAGGAAGCAAGGTTGCCATCGTCATGTCATTTTGACATTTGCTATTGATAATTTGACAAATGTAAACAATAAAATAAAGTTTTTATAATTCCACGCGGATGAATCCGCACGCGAACAGCTAGTTAAGCACTATAAATTATACCATCTGTGGTCAAGACTATTTTAAAAGGTTTTCTGATAGCTACGAAAATATAAAAGCCAGTAAAATTTCAATCAGATCGTACAAGAAACTTGATAAATTTCTTCAAAATTATTTTAATTTGTACCAAGTATAAAAATGTAAATTTCCTCTTTATAATATTAGTATAGATTTTATTAGATTCTCCCACGAGATATAATAATGCAGAACTTCAATTTAGATGCGGTTTCGCATAATCATTTCCCTGTCCAGTAATATTCCTAGCTCCAAGGCATTTCAACCTGGTCGAATTATTCACGCCTTCACAAAAAGTCTTATCTCCTATTCCGTTGTACTAAAGTTGATAATCGCTTGGCAACTTATTTAATATTCAATTGCATCAGAGCTATATTGTAAAGGATTAGGTTCGCATTTGTCAGTTTGCATGACTTTTAAATCATACGCCGTTTGCAAATCTAAAGGCGTAACTTCCGTAATTTACAAGAAATCATGATATTTTGATTAGTTTGCGTTATGTAAGTAAGATTATGACATTTATTCTACTTCAAATTGCTTCATTCGCAATTTAATCAGTGTTTTTCTCCAATTATTGGAATTTTGAGACAATAAGTACCTATTATTAATACTAGGTTACGCACGCGCTACGTCCTCGTGCTATTAAAAAAACAAAAACAAAAGTAGCTTATGTGTTTTACAGAATTTTCTCTATATCTGTGCTTAATTTCATTGATATCCGTCCAGCCGTTTGGACGCTAAACTCTAACAAACATCCATACATCTAAACTATCGCATTTACAATATTAGTAAGTTTAAACGATACGAATTACGGCAGTTAATATCTATCCGTAAATGTGTAAAGTCGGGATAAAGTTTCGCATTTTATTTTATTACAATTTTATCGACTGTCATCAGATGCGTCTCGATAACGAATGTTGAAATCGATTATTCAAATCGGATATCGACTTCGTGGGAAATCGATTCTGGAATCGATACAGTTTGAAATGTTTACGTATTTTGTGCCAGTGATTATGCATATCGTGTATTTACTACTCATTTTTATTTCTACCAGTTTAAAATTTATTGAATAAACCGAATTGAGAGTTTATGAGTCAAATAAATGTTTATCATATTTCAGACCAACATTGCCCAGATTATAAAGTCTACAATCTTTTAAAGGGTCCATTAAGCCTTTCTTGAGCGTAAATAACATTTTACAAGTTTGGTTTAATAGATTTTGCATGTTAATTATTGTTGTGTCCCTTTTCTAATATTACAAATGCGTAAATTTACATCCATCAAAATTTGGATTTTACAAAGATCATCTCATTGTTGCCGATTGGTGTCCGCACCCCCGCGCGCCCTTGCACCTCGTCTTCCCCGAAGTCGCCTTATACGTCATTAACAGATGCATATTTGTTGTCTAAACCGCTAAACGGATCTCGATGTAATTTGTCACTAATGTAGAGGATAGTCTGGAAGAACACATACGCTACCTTTGTTTTATTTTTAATCCACGAAGACAGAGTCGGGGGCGAAAACTAGTATGTATATAAATGTGTAGTCAGTTGTTAGCAAAGCTATTATACATGACACGTCAAGTTGACCCCGATGACACTCATTGGGTGGCCATATCCCCTGTCAGCCTCCACCTGACACTTGACACCGCAGCACAACGCTGACAAAGCTATGCGTTGTCGCCACAAGTACACTCGCGTACAAAATGTAGTCACATAAATATCGTAACATAATTAATATTTTTCAGGTCATTGGCTTTGGTATGGTATCAGATTGCGATTGTGTCAAAATAGATTTGATATACATCGATGACTTTGTCTGATAATACACTAGCTGTTCCCGTGCGACTTCACGCGCATAAAATTAAAAAAAAATCATTTTATTGTTTACATTTGTCTAATTATAAATGTCAAAATAACATGACATGATGACAACCTTGCTTCCTTGATGTTGACAGCAACTTATGGTCTCTTTCTCACATTATGTTTTTATCCAAAATATTTACCCCCTAAGTTTAATGGCGTGAAAATATATAGCCTAAAGCGTGACGTAAGTGTAGGGCTTTTTATTAAAAAATATAATTATTCAAAAATATGTTGTTATTGCTGACATCTTAGGCAACAAAGAAGTGTGTGTTTACGCTTTATTATAATAAGTATAGATTACTACAAAGGCGAAAGACATTGTACTAGCTCCTTTACTACTAGAGGTTTTAAAAGTTAGTAATTAGTAGTCCTATTTATTAGTAACTACTGAAAGGTGTAATACTTAGGTGTATTTTTAAAATTTCGAGATTTAACAACACCTTTGAGTAAACTATCGCACAACTGTTATGCGATTGTCGATTGTTTAACAGCCAATTCAACCGTTTACTGCACAACTAAAATCCAGTGTTCGCACCTCGATATAAGCTTACAGGAATCAAACCTAGACTAAACAGTTGTGCTATCAGTCAAAGGTGTACGCGCGCTCTAACGTTATTAAAACTATGGAGGTAATGAAGGAGCAAAAAGGATGAAAAGTTAAGTTACACTGAAAGTAATTGCAAGTGAACCCCACCGACGGGTATGGGAACCATTAGAACAGTGATTCTCAACCTTTTTTTGTTATGACACATATTTAACGGTTTCAAAATTTGGCGGCATACAAAGAAAAAGATTAAAATTATTTACGTACTTACTACAAAACACTGCATAAATATTTTATGACAAAAATATGCAAAATTTGGCGGCACACTTTTGAAATTTGGCGCAGCACAGTGGTTGAGAATCCCTGCATTAGAGCTTTTATGGGCTTTTCCTTTCCTTGCTCTGTAATGTATTCCCCCTTCCTTGTATTGATTTTCAGTCGTGCAATTCCAAGTTAATGTAACGAGTGTCGAATGACTTGAAGATTTTTATATTTCGAAGTCGTTTTCGGTTCTTATTACAGAAGAATACAGTAAGAAGAATACAAATACGTTTGTTTTTTTATAAGATTTTTTTAAAATCCAAAACAAAACACGAGTTCAATTTAATACGAGAAAATCGTAATGGCATAAATGTTTTTTTTATTTGTATTCTTGTGCTGTTAACTGAATTAGCAGTTTTTCAGTTATTTCTAAAACAAGTGAATATGCTAAACCTCGAGTCATTCTTGCGTAATCCGGTTCCCTTTGTCTAGTCTATGAAAGCTTCATTAATGCATTTTAACAGTTATTTTACAACGATATTGTTTATTTTTTGCAGTCGTGTTTTAACGTCGGAACTAGCTGTTGAATGGTGTTTGTGGGACGTTGCGCATAGGGCTGTCACTTTTTAATTTGATGTTTTAATATTTTTTTTCAGAATTAGTTGGTGTGACACAGCCTTTTGATACACGGAATCACTTATTGAACACGCTTATTCTTTTTATGAAAATAAACAGTCATAAATAAACAAAACACAATCTCAAAATACCAGTTCATTTGTTCACAATTTGCGGTCGAAATGATTTGCTGTAGAGGTTTCCGGGTCATAAAATAGCTAATGGAACTAAAACCGCAACATTTGCCACCGGGGACAAGAGACCTGGTTCTCTTTATAGCTATAATTAGGGTTGGAATACTTGGAAAATCTTTTTTATGATATTGGTGTCGACTATAGGACAGAGAAGGAAGGGACGTAACAAACAACAGCAACCAACGTTGTAACAAGTTTACTCCTTGTAGTCTCAAGTATTCAAATAATTATTTTTTAAAAATAAATCAATTTCACCGATCTTGCTTTATTTGTATACATATCTTTTAATTGACTAAGATTGTTTTATTTATAGCATTGGAATAATAATTATGGAGCAAGAGAAAGTTGACAGCCCTAGCCATAACTCTCTGTTTACATTGTCCGGTGAAAGATTTATGTTGTGCGATGCACTAAGTGTGTGTGTTTTTTCAAACTACCCACAGTTCTACTGCGTCGCTCCAATGCTTTGACGATTTTTTATCAATTAATTTATTTTTGCAGAAGTACTTGACGAGAGCCGATGTCTCTTATTTGACCGAGCTTTTCGAAAGCGCTTCGAGAATATTCCAATGTTACCTAGTATAAGGATGGGCAGGTCTATGAGAAGATGCCACAGGTAACTGTGCCGCGCCTGCATCTCCGTGACCGCAGGGCGCTGCTCCGGAACGTTCTAGAACAAAAATAATTTGGATTACAATCTAATAAAATATCGAACTTTCTAGAACAAAAATGAACGGACTCTTTTTAAATTAGATGGAACTGTGGAATTTTATATACCCTAAATGAGCGAGTTCGATTTTAATTGAATGCAAGTTGAGAACTTTCTCGAAAAACGAATAAATTCCATAAGAATCAAATGGAATTCTGTCTCTTTACTTAACATTGGAGGAACTGATCTAAATAGTAACAACATAGAAAGTTAGCACACTAGAAAACTAACCTTCGGCTTAACTATGAAAAATACATTATTGTCATGATCACGGACACTGTAAGGAGTTAAATATATTTGAATTTTCTTTTTCCAAAGTTTCTTCAATATTGCACTCTATTTATATAGAAACAAAGTCTTATTCAGTTTAAAAGATGCACGCGGAAAAGTCTTTCAAGGTGCGTCGAATCCGTTTTAAACAATTAGTCATGGCGACCCTAGTCTGCAACGAGTTAATCGTTAATGTTGACGTTAACACAGATAAGTTACGTTATAACGTTAACTGACGCACATTAGACTAGTTGAAAATAGCAGGAACGAGTTAAATTGCAACAGTTTACTATGCGTTTTAATTATAGTCCCAATAGCCTAATGGTTACGTGATCGCAGTCTTATGTTCGAATTTTTTGCGACTATTGTCTAAAACTAATCTTAAATCATTACTTTACTAAGAAACAGTATAAATATTTAAGTAAATACAATAAAAATAAAATAAGATAAAACAATTTTTTTATTAAATCAAGTTATGTAACAAGTTAATCAGATGTAGGGACTTCCTTTTAAGTAACCAATAGGCACTTGTATTAAGAAGTCCCGCTTTTCCGTGTAATACATAATGTAAGCTATTCATGCACAATCTATGCTATTATAATAAAGCGTAAAAACACACCATCCTATGGCAAATATTTCGAACAATCCTTTCAAAAAAAAAGAAAACATAAATATGTTTGGACCTAAAGTAAAATATACACAATAGTTCTTTCTTAATTAAGTTATTTTACACCAAAAAACGTTTTTTTACGTTTGCTGTAAATAACACTTGGATATGGCTCCGGATATTACAAAGCAAACCTGCCCATATCTATTCTAAAATCTTTCGTGACATCGCTTTTTAAGTTAAGAAACACACTTAAGTAAGAAACTCTAGGGTCCGCTCACACATAACGAAGCGGAGAGCTGTTTACCGCAAAAAAAAATGAGTTTACACGATTGAAATAAAATTTTAATTTTTTTTTTAACACGTCCTTTCTCATCGATTCTAAGTTAAAAGTTAAATTGAATAGTATCTAAATCGCATAGAGATCAATTTAATTTGTCAAAAAATGGCCTGCTTTACCTGTGTGAACGGACCCTAAAAGACCATAGAAGGCAAAAAACATTGTTAAGAGGAAATGTTATGTTTGTTTACTTTTATTTATTGTTATTTAGTGTTAGTTGATTAACATAATGTTGTTTTGAATTTACTTACAACCCTTTTTTTACCATACTAATATTGTTTCTACAATGTCTGACAGCTAATAAGGAGATCCATTATTAAAAAAAAACACTAACGAATAAAACAAAATTCTGAATTACTGGCTGAAAATATTGCATTATACATATTATATGTTCTTCCACAGTTATACCTTGAATTATTAGTGAGTTCCTTCATAGTATTGTTAATAACTATTTAACGTGTGACCCTAACTATTTATCAATATATTTGCAAAAGTGAACTTTAAAACGATACGTAAATAAGGTTATCATTGCCCTAGGATATCTAGGCCAGATTGACACGAGGTAACTTTCGATGACTTCCACACAAACACATCGGTATGCGTCTAATCGGTATTTAGGACGACTGCAAGCATGTCTTGTTTAAGCAAATTTTATCGTAAATCAAGACTTAGGCGCCGTACTAAATAAGTATTTTATTTCGCGTTTAAAATGCAGATTAAGCGTTTTCACATATTTAAAAATGCGCAAGTTTGGATTGTATCTTCGAAACGACTTAACAACCTCGATAAAATTTGGTACAAGAAGTCGCGGCTATAGTTATAAGATTACTAAATTTTGAACAGAATTTAAAAATATGTTTGAAAAAACAATATAATGGATTCAAATATTTCAACGTACTCAAAATCCAAATACAAACTCTAGATAAAGTGTGATAATCTGAAATAAAGCAGTACAAATTTCATAGGACTTCTTAAAAAAACTAAAAAATAATAAGATGAAGAAATGCATAATGCTTTTAAGAATAAATAGATTAAATAATAACACTGGTCGAATGGAATTCCATTGTCTAATGACATTAAAAAAACAATAGATGGCTTACGTAAGGAACGCATTTCACTTGGATAAGATTTACGCAATGTGCTTTTAGAGTATTTCATAAGACATTAAAAACGAAAGTACCTTCCTTTCTTATAATAAACTTCAATCAAAATGTTTATAAGCTGAAGAAAGGAAGTATTTGAAAAGTGTATAATATTATTGGATTCCATGATGATGTAGAGGTGGACCTAGAAAGAGATGGATGGATTGCGCGAAAGGTGACATGGTCAAAGGGCGTGATGACAGATGACGTATGATAGAGTTATTTGGAGGACGAAAACCCGGTGCGCGGACCCTACGGGAGTAGGATAAGACAGAAGAGATGATGATGATTTTTGTATTCCACGATATTTTACTGTAGACATTTCACTAAATCTTAAACGGAACATATTCAGTTTTTTTAAATATAAGATTTGTTTTCAAATAGAAAAATCTACTGTGAAGAAAACCAACGAGAAACTACACATCTGCCATAATATAGACATATGTAGTTTAGTCAATGTTATGAGTGTGGAAGTACACCGGTAGAGGTAGACCTAGAAGATATGGATGGATTGCGTGAAAGGTGACATGATCAAGTGAGTGATGATTGAGATGACGTATGATAGAGTTATTTGGAGGACGAAAACCTGTTGTGCCGACCCTACGAGAGAAGGATAAGAAGGATGATGATAATGTAGTCTAGCCTCGAGATTAGTTACTCATAAACGAGGTTTAGGCTAAGCGCCATCTGCGCTCGGTCACCTCAAGCCCGATGAATCTGTAAATGCGTCTTCAAGGCAAACAGTGGCCATTCAGTCACAAAAAAAAGTCTAGTCTAGCCACACTAAATTCGACGGGGCTTAACAATCGAACGTTCAATTACAATCACAGAAGCGGTATCATATTCTTATACGGTATTCCAATCAGAACAGGAACATTTCATTCGTAGATTTTCTCTATAAAGGCAACATTGAAATGATTTATTGATGACAGTCGACAATACTTGAATGGCAAGACTTGTAACAGTGTTAGAATAATTAGAGAAAATGGCGTCTACGTTCCTTAAAGAGAAAATAGTCTACATTGTTAATTTGTAAAAGTCGTTGCAGTTACAGAAAAACACGTTAATGTTAAATGAAAGGGTAATAAAATAACAAGAAAGCATAGATAAAATAACTTTACGGAAACGTAGCAAAACTAAATTAAAAAACCACTATTGTTACTAATAAACGTAAAACATAATTGACGAGTGTATGGAGGAAATTAAATGTTTTTTTTTTTTTAAATCATTTTAAGGTTTTAGATAACGGTTGTATTACGATTAAAGCATCGACTGAATCTGAATTCAAAATTATGCAAATCGAATAATTTAGTTGCAATAAATAGGCATACCGAATCTTCTAACATTGTAAATTCTCTATCACATAGTACTTACTATTACATAGAACACTTATACTATACGGTAGGTACGGTCATAAATATGACTTACTAGTTTTCGCCCGCGACTCTGTCAGCGTGGAATAAAAAAAATCAAAAGTGAGTAGCCTATATGTTCTTCCAGATTATCCTGTACATCTATACTAAATTTCATCGTAATCCGTTCTGTCGTTTACGCTACAAACTCTAACAAACATCTATCCATCTAAACTTGCGCATTTATAATATTAGTACGAAGTACGATAAGTACAGTACAGTACAGTTAGCCATTGTCTTTAAAGGTGATTATGCCGCCAATCCGTATTCCAGACCTATACTAGCCTTCGTACTTTGAATACCAATTACAACGACAAATCTTTCGCGATTCGCAAATCAATATGGATGCAATCACGACAATTGTCATACCATTTTAGGGCACCGTGTCAAAAATGTCGTTGACTTTAGTTGGTACAAAATTAGCATGATTTAACTATCGATGTTACTCTGTTTAAAACTATTGTTGGCTTTTTTTATTTATTTATTTGTTTACCAGTTTAGGGAAATATAACTGGCAACGATAAGCCAAGTCGTTTTCAGTTATAAAATCGAATTTTTAAAATGTAGTCCTATTTATTTGTGTTGTCTGTACTAATATTATAAAGAGGAAGGATTGTATGTATTGAAATAACTCAAAAACTAGAGCGATTTTAATAATTCTTTCACCCTTAGAAAGGTAATTTATCTCTGTGTCATATAGGAAGTCTCTACTACTTTTCATTTTCACGGGACGAAGCCGCGAGCAACAACTAGTGTTCAATATTTAGGCTCTCCAAATTATTTCCGTAGCGAAATTAATCGGCACGATTCAATATTGACCGTGATATTGCGTAATATCGGAAGTTGCAAACATTTTCGGCTGTAATTTCTTCCTCCGATGCCTTAATCGTTCGTGCTGAAATTATTAATACCGTTAAAAAAAATTATAGTCTATTGTTTGAGATAATTAACCTATAAATACATGTGTGCTTTGAATTATGATAGAGAGCCATTTAAAAAATATTCAACTGTTCCCATGCGGCTTCATCCGCATATAAAATTTTTAATAACATATTGATAGCAAATGTCAAAATGACATGAAATGACAAACCTTGGCAATCTTGCTTCCTTGATGTTGGCAGCAACTTATGGTCTCTTTCCCACATTAAGGTTTTTATCCAAAATATTTACCCCCCAAGTTTAATGAAAAT